AGAGCTCAGATAACCTGGCTATTTGGGCCTGGAGCTAGACTTGTGGCTAAGTGGCAGAAGGAAGTGGGGCATAGGTGATCCATAATGGGGTACAGTGCATTGCAGGAAACTTTTCTCCTTTCAGTTCTTCATAGGGACTAGAAGAGGTTTTTAAGGATATCTTTGAAGTCCTGTGCCTCTTGGGGAGGTTCCTCATGCACTCTAACTTCATGATACCTACCAGCACTCTGTCCAGCAATTTTGTTGCAAGTCAGACTCTGGATTTTAGCCTACATGGATACTCAAGACCATGGCTACTAAGAGGAAAAGCATAGGAAAGAAGAAGTTCGGTGAAGCAGTTAACAGCAAAACTCCCATATGCCATCAGGATGAGAATTAACACAGTACTGATAATATGTATTACTTTCAGGACTGGTAATTTAACCAGCAGCCCCGCATGTGGTACGTGGAAGGAGCATATGTGGATCACGTGATGGCACAGAAATAGTAAGGGGGAAATAATGGGAGTGTTAAAGTAACAAAGACTGAAAAGCAGAAAAATTCTGGACACATTGGGTGCATCTACAGGTGCGCTTTACTGCAAGAGTTGACTAAGTAGCTCCTCAATAAAGCATCACAGTCTATACATGCATGTAACAGGTCGCCCTTCCCAGCACCATCTTCCTAGTACTCCACGCCTTGCGTGGCGCACCCTTGGATCCTTCTTTAGGGTTCTTATGTCCTGCCCCATACTCTTCTGCCACATCTTAATGGAAATTATGATGATATTCTTGGGAGCGGAAGGCTGCCTATTGTACTGCCCCGATGCCAGGGGGTGCTATCTGCGGCTCTGCTTCCTCCCCTACACCGCAGTCCACACCTCACCGCTGGAGTAGACGTTGTCTGGTCTGGGTGTACACCCCTTCTCTGGCGCTCGGGCTCTCCGTGGCCCTGTCTCTCTCCATGCCCTCTCTCCGGGGCTCCTCAGTAACACCTCCCCCTTCTCTAGGGCCTTCTCAATAATGCCACCCCCTTCTCTAGGGCCTTCTCAATAATGCCACCCCCTTCTCTAGGGTTTCCCCAGTAATGCTGCCCTCCTCTGGGGCCTTCCCAGTAATGCTGCCCTCCTCTGGGGCTCTTCTACAATGCTGCCCCCTTCTCCGAGGCTCACCTTGCCTGCACTGGGTCTTCTTAGCAACACCCCCTTCTCTGGGGCTCCTCAGTAATGCTGCCCCCTCTCTGGGGCTCCCTGTGCCTGCACAGGGGCTTCTTAGCAACACCCCCTTCTCTGGGGCTTCTCAACTGCCCCTCTCTGGGGCTAGGGTCTGTGCACCCCCAATGCTGCACCCTTGCTGGCACTGGGGTTCCCCACACTAGTGTGAGTCCCCTATGAGGCCTCCTCCCACCCCTAATAGCCTCACCCAAACCACCAGTTTAACAAATAGCAACACAAACATAAGCCTCTTGGCTATAACGTAAACAGAAGCTGCCGGGCCATAACAACATTCAGTCCTACCAGGGATCCTTTCTCTCTCCGCAATATCAGAACATGGCTGAGAGCTCCCTCCTCCTTGGCTTCTGGTAGGGAACTGCCAGCCTGGCCTCAGCGCCTGGGCTTTATAAGGGAGCCTGGCCCTGCCCCTTTCAATCAGCTGACCGCCAGCAGGTGTGATCTCTTGCTCCCTCCAGTTGCCCTGGCAACCAACAGCTAGGCTCCTTATTCACTGCTAGGGCTCCTTCCCTAACAGTTTTTCTTCTTAGGACTAGGGCACCTAAGTGCTCTGTGACAATGCACCAGTGTTAGGGAACAGTAAATTTATGAACTCTGCTGTAGGATAGTAGTGTCGGTGACAGTACTATCCTATGGTGAAGTACGTATGTGCGCTCAAATGCACGTGGTGACTGAGGCTGGCAGGGACACAAAGGTGTTACAGTGCAGGAGCTGCCTGCCAGCTACCCCTACAGTGTAGGACCCTCATGCCCCAGCCAGCCTGAACACCACCTGACATCACCACCCGGAGCCTGGGGCTGACTTCCAAGGCCCCCTGCCAGACCAGGGCTGTTCCACTCTCTATCTGAAACATCCTGCTGCTGAGAAGTAATTGCCTAAAAGAAATTCAAGAGATCTCTTCAGTGGAAGAAGAAAAAAAATTCTATTACCACTGAAAACCAAGAAAGAAAACTATCTCCCTTCACAGCTGGAAAGCAAATTATGTTCTTGCCTGTGCAGTAAGTACTGGCAACATAAAGAGGATGTAGCTTGGAATGAATGCCCCGCAGACTTGTTTTAGCATTTTCCACTCCTCTCTTCCTACAGCTCAGCAGGTTTCGATGTCCTGGCTTTTATTGTAGCAATAGAACATTTTACACCAAAGGGAAGTCAAAAGTTTGGGGATCTATGCAACATAAGCATATTTCTTTTTCATCTGGTACATAAGCATTGTTTCTCCAAATGCACTAAAAAGCAAGAGCACTGCCTACCATTTTTTCCCCTGCTTCTCATTTACTTTGCTAGCAGACTACTTTCACCTTCAAATTATATAAAACAACCATGATAAAAAATAGCTATGTCTTCCCAGGAGGCAGGTTGGCAAGGATATCTGATTTATAAAGGTGTTCCTGCTGCTTCCTTGCTTGTGGGTGGGAAGTAATGCAACTCCTCCAGCACCAGCTCAGCTCTGTTTTTTCAGCTTCTTCTTCTGCACTTGTGTGTGGAAGGAAGGGGTGATGATCCTGCAAACTCATATGGTAGGTAATTTTCTTGCATTGTGGCATTACACAACATTTGAAGTGATTGGGTCAGATCATGCAAATTATGGGCCATGGGAATCTTAGGGGAGGCACTCAGCACTTCAAAGAAGTTGTCTTTTCATGGCATAAAATATAGACAAGAGCTGTTGTATGTCCTAAAACCATCAGTGTTGATTGTTGATTTCCAAAGTGAATCAATCCTGTTTTCCTTGGAGGAGACCTGCCTTAGCTTGTTGAAACTGTAATAATTCATTAGAAGGGTATGGAATTATATAATTATGATATGCAATGTAAGTAGTTTATTTGGCTTTAACAGTTCGACCATTGCTTAGGTTTCTTCTTTCTCTTTTTGTAAAGTTATAATTGGTCTTTGTACAGCTTCTGTATGAGCTTGCTCAGGAATAGGAAGTTTGACATTAGGGCTAGGGACAGACATTATACATAAACCAGTGTAAGTGATCAGAAACTGGTTTAAACCTGCAATATAACAGATGCTCAGTGCACAGAAACCATTTTGAAAATGGCAGAAACCAGTTTGAGATAAACCTGGTTGAATGTAGTATCAGACTTAACTGATTTTGTTCAAACCAGTTTAATGCAATGTCTGTCCCAGACTCCTTCCTGGTTTATCTTAAATCAGAGTCCCCCAGCATCCCAGATGCTTTGCAGCCCTGGGTGGAGCTCTCTGTTCCAGAGAACAGGCTGGCCCCACCCCTGTGCTCCCTGGCTGGAGCTCCAGTGGAAACTTGCAAGCATGGCAGGGTCTTCCTGGCTTCCCCTTGCTCTACCCCACCCCCTCACCACTCCCAGCTCATGTAGGGATTCCCCTCTCCCATAGCACAGACTGGATTGTAGCCAGCATGTGGTGTACTAGCTAATGCTGTGAAGTGTCTGTGTAAGGCAGACAGGACAAAGGCAGAGAGGACAGTGTCTGCTTAGGGCTCTCTGGAGCTAATCAACAGGTCAGCTGGTAATATCCCTCCATTCCTTCCTTGGAAAAAGTTGTTTAAGAAGAGCTTGAACTAATGAGAGGCTTTTGTTTTCTGATGGGCTGATAAATGTTCTGTTATCAACTCCCTGCTGAGCTGGTCAGGAGCAGTGAGGAGTGGGGACCCCCCCCCTTATCGGAGCGTCTTGCCAGGACCTGGCCATGACTCCCCCTCAGCTCAGCAGTGTAGAATGGAAGGGAGGGCTGCTCTAATACCCCCTGGCTTCTAGCCTGAGCTACTGCAGGCATGTGCCTGCATTTCTTCAGTCCATAGGGGAAGTCTGTGCATTTAAAAACCAGTTCAGCCTCGCCAGGTTAAACTAACCTGCAAAGATTAAATCAATTCAGGCTCAGGCTTTGTGAATATCTGTCCCTAGCCTAGGTGGTACTTACCCACAACTGTTGTATCCAGAGTAGGTTTGTTTGGTGCTGGTTGGAATACTACATATCCATAAGTATAAGGGAATATTCCTTCCCTAAATGAGGTATTGGTTATTTCAATCAGGAGTGGCACCAATTGCCCAGGACTCTTTTTCAAAAGCAGAAAGGACACAAAATAGATTGACAGCCTGGAGTCAAGACAATTACAGGGTATCCTGGGAATTCAGATGGGCTGTTTGTTTGTGGGTATAAGTAGAGTTGATCCATGCTGCCTGAGAACGCTTCCTGAATGTACATGATCCTTTCCATAAAGTAGAAAGATTTTTCACAGCTCTGAGTGCTCAGTTCAGATGAGCTGTAGGTTCTCAGAACTGATGAAGCAGATTGCCAGACTGAGAGGATTTTGACATCTTCGGAAGAGACTAACAGCTGGTGGGTAATGTAGTCTCAGTGTAGGCTTTAAAGAATTCATTGTATTTCATCCTATCTCTATCAGTCTTTATTTTTCTCCAGTGACAGTTGAGTATCCAACCCTCTGTCTCCATTTTGCATAACGCATTAGAAAACAGAACCCTGGGTAGATGAGGAGGAAGAAATGGCCACTGATAGCCAGCTTCATTGGCTGGGGCTAAACTACAGTGATAAAGATTCACTAGATCCTGACCCTGCTTCCCATGGGTAGAATAATTGGTCCTTTAGCAGTCTTTGGAATTTGATGGAGTCTAAGTGTCTTCATGGACAAAAAGAGGCTCAACAGTTTTTCTTGTTGAGTGGGAGACAGGAGAGCTGTGATCTATGCCCTAATGAGGTAATGTCCATCCAAGACAGGAGACATTTGATTATGGTCACCTAATCCTAAAAGTAACTCTAAGGTGGGATCAGATGGGTCTCTAGCATCTGGGGGCCAATACTTGCATTGCCCCCCCTCTCCCTTCCTTCTCACAGCAATACTTAAAGAAGTCATATTGCACAATAAATCTGAAGGGCCCAGCCAGCACCCCACCCCCAGGCTGGTGCCCAGGGGCCATGGCCCCCTCCTCCACCCCATCAGTCTGCCACTGGGTGGGACTAGCTGCATGGATAGGAACAGGGAAAGCATACAGTCTTAGGCAGGCAAACAAGAAGATGAGATTTTGCATTTTTGCATCTGTGCCTTTATCAATATTCATGTTAACATCTCCCAGAGTGACTGTCTCAAATTGCTTAGCCAGCATTGCTAATAAGGGAACATGGAGCTCCTTTCTGAAGTTCAGTATCCCAGCTTGACCATTTTGGCCTATATAAATTGCAGAAAGTTAAATGTACCACCTATAGCATCCATGGACTCGTAACCTTGAATTTTTCATGATGGAACTATCCTTAAATAAATATATGAATCAGATACATAGATCAAAAACGAGACCTGCACCTCTGAATGGTATATTGGGTTTCATTGGGTATGTCTACACAAGGCACTTAATGAGCAGAAGGCTAATTCTACTGCACATTAGCACAGCAGACAAAACCCATGCTAATGCTCTAATGTGCAGTAGATTTAGTCTAATGTCTATTCACATCACTAAAAAACTGTTCATCTGTGCTAATGTACAGTAGCACTGATTATGGCACATTAAATTAGTACCTGTCATTACAGGTACTAAACTTAATATACTGTAATTACAGTGCATTAATGAACATGTAGACATGCCCATTGTCACCCAATAGTTTGCTAAAACTTCTAAATTTACCAAACAGTAAGTGACCCTTTATAAATATTTTAAATGTGTGGATTCCAACGTTAGTGTATCTGTACAATATTTTCTGGAAAAATGCAGGTGTATGCCTCAGTTTATTCTTGTTTATATTGTATTCTTTACCACCAGGACATAAACATTTCCAGGTTTTTATTAAACTAATGAGCAGAGTGCATTTGCAGGGGCAGGAGTATAATGAAAAAAGGATGTGAAAGGCAAGTCAGATGACATCACTTCAGTCAGTTAAAGGAAATCCAGTATTTAGATGTTTATAAGCTCAGCATGTTAGTTGTTTGTACTGTGATAAGAGAATGTTTGGTGTACAGACTGAACCATCAGACTTATTACAGCATGCAGACGGTGTTTGTGAATTTTTGTCTATTACAGCAATGGACTCAAAGACAGGAAGTCCTTGGTCTTGGATCAAGCTGAGTCACCGACTCGCTGTTTGACTCTGGGAAAGTTAGTTGAACTAAAGTCTACAGTGTTTAAGCTGCTTAACTGTGTAAAAACAGGATTGGAGTAACAAGTAAATACTGCAAGTGGGAGAGAGAGCTATTCTGCATAAATTAAATTTTTAACTTTTTTTTAGATCAAGACTCCATGGAACCTTTGGCAACTTTGGCCTCAATTTTATACTGAAGGGGTTATAGTTTCTGTATCACTTTAGTGTAGTAAATTGGACTTTCTTTAGCTATTTCAAGAAAATTAAATAGTAGAAATTTTGTTTTAGTTTAATATTAACATGAATAA